GCCAGACCACGTCTCGCGTAACAGGCTTCGCGATATCTCACGAAACACTGTTACGCTGCGACGCGCCTGGCATACATCTACCTAGGCCTGCGGCGCTGACACCCGAGTCGGGTTAAAGTCGTAAGTAGGCATTCGGCCCCTAAAGTCACAATTTTGTTCCTCAGGGTTTTATTTTAACGAGTTTCCCAACCGGAGACCAACAAATATCTGAGAAAAAACATAGCAATGTTTTGCGGTGGGGTTACTTGAAGCAAGATGGACAATTCAAGCCTTTGTGGCGAAGAAAGCCCCAGTTTTCAGAAAGAAGCATTTCCCTTACGTCCTGCATGCAAATGCGAAACTGCTTGCAAGGGAAATTGCAGTTGTAAAGTTCTTGGTTGCTGTGACAGAGACCTGCGATGGGCGGACGGGCTCCGCCCGCTGCCTGAGGTGTGCGAGAGAGAGCGACAGTCATGGGCGGTGTGCTGCGGTGCTGTGGCTTGGCGTGGCGGAGGCAGTCACCGGCCGGACATCCGAACAGTGCCGAAGTCACCTGTGCCGGGTCCGCGCGGGTCGGCGCTGGCCGACAGCTACTCTCGCCACGCCAAAAAGGTGCCGAATGAAGCGGGCGGACCATCCGCCCGTCTCCGGGCTCGGTCCGGGCGGCCACCCGGCACATCGACGAAGAGACGGGCCGGGCCGGGCGCTCTGGCGACGAGCGCTCAGTGCTGCCGGGCGGAGGCCGCCCGCCCATCGCAGAACTCTGTGCTGTGATTTGTGCAAGTGTAACTGTCCTAAGTCGTACGAATGAAAAGTAATGTGATTTTTTGGTGTGACTGTGATATTTAAGTGATGTATTGTGTGAAAGGAACTGTTTTGGTGATAGTAAATGTATTTGTGTGATTTGAACATTAATGTTACTTGGTTGTTGACTGTGATACTCGAGTAATGTGGTGTATGAAAGAAACCGTTTTGTGATAGTAAAATGTATTTTGTGTCTTTTGAAAATTGAAATGTCTTGTTTTGTGATACTTAAGTCAATGTGTTTGTGTAATTTGAAAATTAATTTGATTTTTTTTTTGTGATACTTGAGTTATTGCTTTGTTTGACATCTTTTTTTGTGAAAATGAATGTCGTTATTTGTGTGATAATATGCGTAACGCAATCTAAACTGAAACTGAAGCAGACGGAATAAATATTCCAAAGGTCGAGAGAAATTTCTTGAGTAAAATTTGATTGCTTTTTTCGTCATCAGCTGCTATAGAAACCCCTATACTCATGCGCCACGCGTAATCTGGTGTTGCGGGAAATTTCCCCGTGCCGAGGGAAATTTCCCCGGTGAGGGGAAAAGTTAAATTTTGTGAAAATACAGTACTCTAAAAATATTTCGGGTGATAGGAGCACTCGTAGATGCGTTGATTGCTGAATAACGTTAAACCAGTACTTTCGCGCTTAAGGACGGCCCCTAGGAGAAGGGGGAGGGGTTATGTTGGGGTCCGATGGTTGGTCCACACGGTCTCACACCCAATCTGTCCGATAGTGACCCCAAATCCACTCGAGTCGCACGTTTTCCAGCTTCCAGGGCCAAGAAATCAAGAAATGGCGCTTTTTGCCCCTGGAAGGTATGCAACCGCCCCTGGAGGGCCCCTGCAAGTAGGGCCACTGGGGCTCCACTTCTTAAAAGTTACCTTAGGGTCCATAGATGATGTCTGCAAAGTGGCATCTCAGCAGGAAAAAATGCAAGGTTGTTTCCGCTAACCCCCGTACTACATAGGTTAAGGGGCTCTGCCTTATCGCACTATGCTCGGGCAGTCACGGTCAGTCTTTTACGAAATGGAGCTTTAAAAAAGACACGTTTTGACAAGGGCGTCATTACTTACACAGGCGGTTTTTTGTTCTTGGAGATAGGAGTGGAGCATAACATGCGGCGGGGTACAGAAGTTGTAGTAGTTCGTGCACCTTATTCCGGTTGAACTTGGTGGTCCTAGGTGCTTTCGAGCCCGGACAAAGAGTCCATTGTAAATATTGTCCTCTTGGCCCTTTACGTGAAAGTGGAGTTTTATCTCTCATTTTCACCACGAACTGCTAAATACCACAACACCTATTACTCGCCTAAACAACTTGATTGTTTTGAGTTTTCTTTGTGCCGTCTGCTGCGTCTGCTGGACGTTACTCTTGTTCTTCTCGATATTTGGGGGCGCTATGCTTTCAGCTAGTGTTCAGAAATGAAAAGACTTTCTTGGACATTAATAAATATTTCTACATAATTATTATTGTTCTCATTGAAATAAAATCCAATTTAAGTGAATCTCGGCTCTTTAAAAACTGCAGTAGCGTTTTAGGACTGTATGATTCAGAGAAACTACAGTTTCAGACCTACTTTTGACTTCAGTTCCTCTTCAGTATGAGAATGAATAAAAGCGTAACCGAGCCGGCACATATCACTTGGCATCAGTGGTCCGTCCGTCCTGAGTGTCGTTCCCTGCTGTCATTCCCGCCGTTAGTGTGAAGTCCGTGTGTCCGTGTCCGTTCGTTGTCAGTGTGTCGCGTCGTGTGTAGAAGTCATTCGTTGTACGCTGTGTTTTAAAGTTATCAGTCAGGTTCGTCGTACGTTCAAAGTCAGTCAGGTTCCTCGTACGTCGTTTTCCCACTTTACGTGATGGTTCGCTCCAGGGCTGGGTCCGCTGGGTCCCGGTCTGCTGCTGATCGGGGAGGGGTAGGCGATGGGGTTATAGTGCTTCAGTTGTACGCCCTTGTGAAGTGGGCTTCGGGGGCCTTTGCAGGGCAGTACTGCCATAACGTCCGGGTCGACTGGATTCTGGATTTCGACCCAGAAGGCCCCATCGACCCCACTGGCTGCACAGTCGAATGGCGCGTCCCGCCCCAGCCCCGGCACGGTTGGAACATGTATGATTGCAAAGTGCTGTATGTTTCTGGTGAGTATTTTCTCGTTACTTCCTCAGACTTCTAACCCACTTGCTATAATTGTCGCGGAGCGCGGAGCGTGTCCAATCTTTGTTGTCCCCTGTTAAAAATCGGCGTGTTTGCTACTTTCATTCATTCATTTTGAGTTCGCCGCGCCTTTCGAAATAACCGCGAGAGTTTGCCGCCCCTTTCCTAACCTCGCCGCATGTGGATCTCTATCGAATTTCTATCTTTTCAACGAGTGAACATACGACTGATGGGCGAGCGCCCACCGGAGGCAGACGCAGTCCCACCCCCGCCTAGTGAATGGGAAGCGGACCCTTCGAGCCGCCTCACCGGGGCTAAAGTACAAATTGCCAAGCAAGCTGGGCGCGATTTTGCCAATAGAGTGGCAATCGTCCACCCCAAGCCCCGCCGGGTAAGTATCCTCGTTTGAGTTCAGTGCCGTTGGAAGTTGGATGTCGCCTTAACCTCTGTTTGTCTGTTCAGTCTGTTCACGAGCGGCTCGGTGAGCGGCAGGCAGCGGATGGCGCCGAGGACAACCACCAGCAGGCGCAGGCGGCGCGCGGCCGTGGTCGCGGCCGTGGATCATAACGAGGCCGTCGGTACATCGGACCCCCTCAGCGCGGAGTAAGTCTCACACCATCTCCTCCAGCGTGATTGGCTGAGCGATTAGCGAAGCCCATAACTCCACTGACCAGAAAAGTTTCATTCTGTCTGTCTGTTTGTTTGTCTGTCTGTCCGCACGATAACTCGAGAATGAACTGAGAGAGCGATCTGAAATTTTCAGGGTCGTTTTGTATTTTAAAAAAAGACAGATCGAGTTCGAAGATGAGCATTCTAGCTCAAAAACTGACTTTAAAAAAAATCAAAAACAAAAGGTTGCAAAATATTTATTGTTTTCAATTTTTTGTTATGGGCTCCTAAGGGGTAATTCGTGAAAGAAGAACCCTTTGGGCGAAAATTTCGTCCGTTTTGCTCTATCTTGTACCGTTCTGGCGCTATGGCTCATTTCTTGGCGAAAACGAGGTGAAAAGGACAAAATGGTCTAATAAATCGTATAAAAGGCTTCATGGCACAGAACTGAAAAGGGAACAATACTTAAACCACACATTAAGGGACAAACAACACCCTCTTTTGGGCTTAAGCGTCCCTAGATTATCTAGTATCACTAAAACGTTGATTTTTACATAACAATCTGTCAAAATTCGAATTTTTAATGAAAACCGTTACTGAACAGCAGAAGTTTCTTATCCATAATTTTAGAGAAATAAGACCCCTACAAATGGTTTTCGCTGAGCGAAGCTCAGTCCAAGTCGCTGAGGGGTCAGGCGATGTCTCCGTCGTGAGTCTGTCTGTCTGTGTCTAACTCACTCAATGAACTACGAAACGGCTGCACCAAAGACGAAATGCGAGTTTGTTCAAACATTGACATTTCTTGGGGCAGTTTCAAATGCATTTACTTTCAGGATTTGTTTAGTTTGAAATATCCAATAGTTTAATTTGAACTCGCGCGTAGTTTGTTGGTGTGTTGGCAGCACTGCACTCGAGTGGGCAAAGAGCGCAAACGGCACCTGCGCCACTTCATGACTTTCTTACTCTCTCACAAGTGATCAAATTGTCGGATTGTCAAACCGAGTGTTTTAGTTTTAGTTTTAGAGTTGCGGAACTCAGCCAGCGAAGTTTCGCGAGTGTCCGGCGAGAAGAAACGAAAGTGATATTTCGAATAGTTTACGTGTTTACTTACGTAAGCTGGAGGGGGGAGGGGGGTACGGGTTCGAGAAATGTGAAATGGTAACTATTGTTTCGAGGTCATCTTGACAAAAGAAAAAGGAAATGTTTTATGCTCCAAGACGATCGGAATAGAAATGGCAGAGATATTCCCCAATTTGGCATTATTCCGACAATTTGGTCGTTTTCTGGCACTTTTGTCAGTTTGGGGACCAATAACTCTGCTATTTCAACTCTGATCGGCTTTGACCATAGGACATTTCCTTTTTCATCTTGAAAAAAGAATCCAAATCTTGTATTACACTTTTACTTTTTTAACCTCTAAAAAAATCCAAATTTTCAATTTGTGTATTTTAACAAAATTTAATGGTGTTTACTTGTAGAATGATTGGAAGTCACCCAATCTTTCATTAGGACATGTCAAAACGATTATTCAACCCACAACTTATTTTCACAATAGCCATGGACTTGCAAGGGACCGAACAATATTTTAGCCAACATCGCAAACTCAGGTAGGATAGGCCCATCGAAATCAGAACAAGGTATATTCTTTTCTTAAATGGACTAGCTTTGTCTGGAGTCACATTATGTTTAATGATATCCAATAAAATGGTGGGAGCATTGAAATTAAACTGTATGATACGATACATTATAAATAGAACTTTCAATTTAATATACTTCAGTGACTCGTGATTCTTCAAATGTCTCGAAGAAAGCTGATAAAAAAGAATGAAAGAGTGACAAGTTATACTTGTCGTAGGAGAGAAGTTTAAATGTATCTTAAAATTGAATTAAATATTAGGGTATTTAATTTCACTTCAACCAGAGGCAATCTAACAGAATTTCACCTTTCACAAACAAAGGGAATTGAATGAAATGTGAGCTTCATATGGCATTACAGAAAAGGGTAAATTAAG